AAAAAAAAAATGTGTATATATTCATCTAAACGAAACGCATACATTCCAAGTGCTCTGAGTATAATAAAAACACCAGTATAGATGCGGAGATTCAAACATCCAATGAATATACCTCATGCCTTAAGAAAATCCTCCTACCAAAAGCGAAAAACTGAGTGTGAGGTTTCCTACTGGATTTAAAATTCAAGATTTAAATTACTTATTTTAAAGCTTTCCGCTAATCAAACTCTGATCATTTGAAAACAGAAATTTTAAGCAGCAGCGATACGTGGAAGCACAGGGACATATCCATTTGTGGGCAAAGGTATCACGACATCATAGGCCAAAACCTTCTATAGTTTCATGTGTCTACCAGATCGAAGTTTCTCCCTGAGGCAAGGGACTGGCTCTTGGGAGACAGAGACCCTCCGGCAGGGCTAAGGAGGGGTCCTAATGCCCCATCTCTCCTCCCACTGCTAGCCTACTTTTTTCTCCCTTAGTCGTCTGATCCGTCTGCTGGGAACACCAACGTGCTGAAATACACATAGCATAAGTTGTACAGATATCAAGGGCAGGTTAAAACAAGGAATTTTTCCTCTGGGTGGCAATGAGGAAAGGAATTAAGGAACACTTGGAGAGTGGAGGTTGACACTGACATGTCACAGTCGGAGTTTTGAACTTGGCTTTCACAGATGAAATTCATTTCCATGAAAATGAATTGAGAATCTGTTCAGTTTTACGCACTGATGCAATAACGTATTGTCTGTTTTCACGTCATTCTTTCTTCCTGCTTCTCCTCTCCTCCCATGCCCAGTCTTTTTCCTGGTGGCAACAGTGCCAAAGCATCTCTTTGAGAGGAAAGCATATTTTATTACCTGATACTTTCTAAACATTCCCAAACAGACTCTGTGTAGTTTTATCTATCCTTATACGTACATATACATGTGCAATCTATTTATGCCTTTTCCCCTGCCTTCTCAGTTTTGCCTACATCAAAAGTATCACTCTGAATGTGGCAAAGCCATTATGTGCTAACCCAATATTAGATAGCTGTTCATTGCTCCGAAGGCAGTGGCCTTGACCTAGAGTTGGTAGTATTATACATCTGTAGAAGAATGGATACTCTGGGGACTACTTTTCCTTATCTGCTTAACTGCCAAAAATATTTTCACAGACATCAGTGAAGATGAAACATCAACTCATCTCTAAATGACTATTATCAGTAAAGTTTTGGTTCACGCCAGGCACAAAAGTAGTCTAATCATACAAACATCACTCAAACTCACCACCAGAAGGGGCCCAAGACTCTCACCTTGGGAAACACCCTCCTAAAGGATGACAGAGGCGCCGTCAACAGCTGAGAAAAACAATTTCATTTTGTTTGTAAAACCAGTAACCAATTAAGCAGTGAGTGAGCTACGTGGTTAAATAGCCAACTCGTAATTGTTATAAATGGGGGTGGGGGACATCTCATTCCTTTCCAGTCTTAAAAACTACAAATCCATTACATTTTCAGGTTGTGCCTTTCTACCACTGAGATTGATTTGTCGATTTTCTCTAATTGTCTCTATTGGTATCAATTTTCATGTAAATAGTCAAGTCTTAAAAGCCTGTACACATGGATAAGCTAATAAACAGCTCCACTGAGATATGATGACCTCAAGATGTTTCATTTAACTTGGTGTAACTGTGAGGTATTGAAATATTAATCTGGACTGTGGTCCCCTTGAACATCACTCTAGCCATATGGTTACAGCAAATCACACAGACATTGTGGACTTGAATACATTTATTAACTATGATAGAAATTTCCACCTAGAATGTGATAAAGCACAAACTAAAGTCTGCAGAAGCCATGTTAATTAAACCACAGCTGGTAGAATTATTTATATTCCATGCCTAGAAAGAAATCCACCAAAAGTTCACAACTGTTCCACTGGGAAACTGGCAAAGAAATGACCAGTTTGTTAACACGTGTTACGTCAAAATTACAGCAATTCAAAATAGCAGGAATAAACTTTTTTCTAAGAGTATTCTCTACTCCGTAGTTCAAAGCCTGGGTCCTCTTCCACCAGTTAGGATCTGAGTCCTAACTCTCTCCTTTTGGGCTATCTATCCGGCTTGTTGGTATCTCTATGTCTTCCTATACAGAGGGTAACAAAAAATGTATATATGTTTTTAAAAAGGGAAAAACTGTATTAAAATTGTAATACTCGATATAGGCTGACAACAAAAGATGGATGCAAGTCACACTGAGCACCCCTTGTAATTGCAGAAGTCAAACATGACTTGAGTGGTACAAATTTAATACAATTTTCTCCCTTCTGAAAATGTGTGTGTATGTCTCTGGTACCTTCTGTATAAAAGAGTAACAGCTTCCCTTCCTCGCCACCACTCAGGGAGGTCAGAAACTGAGCGAAAGCACAAGCAGCCCCTTACTCTTCAGCGTCCCCAAGGGCACAGACATTCTGGGTGTGGGGCAGAGTCCACACGTCCTGCCCTCCCACGCAGAGCTAGTTCTCATACACACCTACACCCTCTCTTGGCTCTTCCATCTGTACCATGTTGTACTTTATCTGCCAATTATTTTTTGCTGTTGTTTTGTTTTTATTGACATGTCATAACCGTCCGTATCTATAGGGTTCAGTGTGATGTCCCCACACATGCACACGTTGTGTAAAAATGAACTCCATGTAGTGTATTCATCAGCTCATATACCAGCTCTTTGTGGTGAAAGCATTCAAAGTATTCTCTTCTATTTTGAAATATACAATATTCGAACTGCAGTCACCCTACTGGGCAACAGAACACCAGAACTTACTCCTTCAATGGTAACTTTAATGAAAGGAGCAAGAACCCTACCAGAACCAAGCCCTCCAAGATGCTCTCCCACACTCACACTAAGTTCCAAGTTTCAAAAACAAACCTCACAAAAATGAAGCCATTTGATCAATTTGAGTAAGTCTCTTTTTAAAAATTTTTTGGCATCTCCATATCATACTTGACAAGCCCTATAGCTGTAAAACATTATGGAACTGCAGATTAACTTTATACTGTGGGGCCTTCACATCCAAGTTCACAGGCACACCACTATGAACTCCTAGTGATCAGGCTATTTCAATAGATTTTCTCTTGCAATATTAGGATTAAAATTCATATAGCATGGCAAACCTAAAACTCAGATGCGTACAAATTCAAACTACTCTAAATAACAGACTTCCCGGGGTAAGATTCATAAAATCGTATGAAGTATGTTGTCAATCTGTCTTTAGCTAATGATGTTCAAATGGGTCCCTAAAGAACACACAAATTGACTTTGCAAATTTCACTGCAGCAGATGGCATCCTGTGTTGTTGTGTGAACGTACAAAACAAAACAAAACCAGCATTCTGTAATCCTCAACACGATGCCCTAAAATGAAGAGAATTACAGAGAAAAAACAATTAAGGCTTCTATTAAGAATCTATTTTCAGCTGGGCACTGTGGCTCACACCTATAATCCCGGCACTCTGGGAGGCCAAAGTAGGTGGATTGCTTGAGCTCAGGAGTTTGAGACCAGCCTGAGCAAAAGCAAGACCTCATCCCTACTAAAAACAGAAAAACTGAGGCAAGAGGATTGCTTGAGCTCAGGAGCTTGAGGTTGCTGTGAGCTGTGAGGGCATGGCACTCTATCCAGGGCAACAAAGTGAGACTCTGTCTCAAAAAAAAAAAAACAAAAAAAAAAACAAGAATTTTCATTTAGTATCCTAAGTAGGTGCATTTAATTTTTAATGTTCTACGCAAGCACAAGGCTATTTTTAGATCTAGCTTAATAACTCTAAAACATTTGAAAAGCTTGGTAAGAACAATTGGGGAGGGGTTACATGAACTACAACCACAAACTACAGCAACCACCCCCTCTCTTCAGCCTTCGGCGAGTGTAAAGGAAGTGTGTTATCCGTATAGGTAAAGATGGTATTACCAGTCTAACCTCAGAAAAACTGCAAATACCAAAGTTAGAGGTTAGTGCCTTTGCACACCCATTTCTTACATCCCCCTTCTCAACACGCCCCCAGGCTCCCACACACAATCTCCTAAGGCCTGCTGCCTTCCTGTGAGCAATTCCCCCACCATTCCCCCTCCATCGCTAATGGTTCATTTCAGACAAGATCGGGTGCATTCAGGATGGTATGGTTGTAGACTAATGGCTCATTTCAGCTGGTGCCAGTTGACAGCAGTCTTACTAAACTCACTTAGCTAAGCCTTAGCAAATAGGGTAGTAATTCTCCCTAGAATACCTACATCTTAAGAGAGGATATAGATGGCTATCATGAGATTAATGAAATTTCAGGTGATTACATCATCTTGGATGATTTAGCACTCACCAATTACTTGAGAAAATGGCAAGTCGAGTGGGCAGGAGGTAAGAGAGCTCAGACTAGACTGCAATTACTAAGTGACTAGGCTGTAGTCATTACTAAGTGACTCCAGTGACCGAAACTCACATTTTGTCATTGAAAAAAATAAAGGTTTGTTCTCAAAGGCCCCTTCCAACCCTGGAGTGTGTAATTCTGTATGGGCTGTGTACCTATGTGAAGTAAGTCCCAACAGCCAGCCCATAGTGAGTGCAACATGACCTGAGTGTGTGTGTGGGCGCACGTAACCTCAACTCTGGGACCAAGTGTATGTAATCTCTATACAGATGTAGACCAGAAAGTTTAGTTATCAGTCCTCTGTTTATTCAAAGATCCCCTTAACAAATCACGAAATCCTTACCATAGCAAAACCAGGTTTCTCAGAGGTAGCTTCCTGAATGAAGCAAAGCCAGCAGGACTGGAGAGCCAGGTCCATTGAGTGACCTCCATGCCCTCAGCGTCACACCACT